GCCAATCTTCAGGCAGTACAGTGGTCTACAGAGCAGAGAGAAACGAGTTTTTAGGCAAATCAAACAGAACACCCAAACACCTGCTGCTGATTGTTACCGGTGACCCATTACGATGATCCACTTTCTCTGCGCTCGATTGGCATTCGCCCGCTTCAGATCTGCCTCGAGCCACTCGTACTGGAGGCGAATCTGATCCCAGCCAAAGTTGGTGTAGTAGTAGAACTCGGTGCTGAACATGACAATGTGGGCGGGGCCGATGTCCATCGAGTGAAAGTGATTGTTCAGTCGAGTGCTCAGGGCGGCGCCGTGGTGAGGGTGGGCTCGGTCGGCGATCATCGAAAAGCGAGCGTCGTAGTGGCTGGTGAAAGTGGAAAAAAGAGGATTAGGCAACTGTTTTTACTAAAAACTAAAAACCTTTTCTACCTAAAATTCGACTTCTCCTCATGATTGCCCGGACAGGTCATGTAGGGCACCCGGGCGGCCACCTTCTCAATCGACCGCATAAAGTCATTGCCCTGCTCTCCCCTTCGCTCAAAGAGGTTGTAGGCCATGTCGCCGACGTGGAAGATGACATCGTAGAGTGGGTGATTGTTCGGCTGACCAATGACGTCCTTGGTGAGGAAGGGCAGCGACTCCTCGTTTTGGAAGCCGAGGTCGCCGTAGACGGCAAAGCGCGGCAGCCACTTGCTTCCGCTGGGCAGTGTGCGAAAGGTGAACACCGCAGAGTGGCTGCTGCCCTTGCTCCCGACGCGGTAGTCTGTAGATTTGGATTAGGATTTAGTTTTGAAAAAAAGAGCATTCTAAACTGACAATACTGAGTGGCCGGTTTGAGGTGGGTGAGCAGTGCTCGGTAGGTGTAGAAGCTGGCGCCGTCCTTCGCAAAGTGGCTCACCTCGGCGGCCGCCTGCTGACTGAGGTTGCCCGCCTGCAGGCCGTACTCGACCGTGCCCGTGTCGGTGATGTGGTGCATCGTCGCCCAGGTGACCACCATCTCCGTTTCGTCGGCTGCAAGCAAAAATTGAAAAAAGTTANATTATTTCAAATTAAAAGCTGCACTCACTTCCCAGGGCAATGTGCACCTGCTCATGGCTGTTGCTGGCTTTGCCGGTGGCCAGCGCCAAAAGTGCAGCCAAAATGAGAGTGGCTGTAGGCACTTGCATGCTTCTTGGTTTGGTGATGTTTTAGAAAGCTAAAAACTACAAAAAAATCTTTTGATGAAAAATAAAAGTCGTCACTTAGAGTTTTCAGCAAAATTACACGATAGCACAGCAGCACACCAACAGCTGGTCAACTGAGGAGTTCCTTTTTTATGCTGC